AAAAGTCACCATTGACATCCTTTTCCTCCAGCCACGACCATTTGAACTTGTTCTTTACCTTTCCTTCTATGCTACGGATATCCGCCGACCTGTTTACTTGTTTGTACATTTCATTTGATCTATTATCGCTTCGGTAAACACCTTTGAATAGATAAGGCTCTTCAATTGTCTTGCTTAATAGAAAGGTACACAAACGAATGACCGTGTTTTCTAAAGCACGTTTTCGAGATAAAATCTCGTTCACATGACATGAAGTTTGCATTATAAGCATACAAGGTCTCGTACACGCCAGCAAGCATTGCGAGACTACAAAATGGTGGCGCCCTGTCGCCGAATGTAAACAAACCTCGCGATTGCATAAACGCTTATCTATGGCATGGAACACCAAAATCCGATAAATAATCTTAAAAATGGTGTTTCTCTGGAAGAAAACCGGAGGTTTCAGGATTTTTTAGAAATATAGTTCAGTCTCATCTAAGTGTCATGCCTGCAAAAGAACAACAAAAAAAACTCATTTTTGACACGATTATACCAAAATGTAATTAATACTTGCCGAAGAAAGTGGGAAAGAACAATTTCAATAAACCAGGCTTAAGTATACATAACAATGTCATACATCATTGCTATACAAATTGATGTTGATTACCCTGATAAAGTAACCAATACAATGTGAAAAATATCCTTGTGCTATTATTTATTAGTTGTAATAGTATAAGGTTAATAGCAAAACTTTCAGTAAAAATAAAGCATTAGCTTTGGCACTCATAACTATTGTTGTTGTTAAATGTGCAGATTACTAAGTGTTTACGCTTACTTATCATTAGGGGATAACTTCTGTTTTGGTCAGTAGCAGCATAAAAACTATGCACATTTAACAATTTATTGGTTGTGTGCAATAGATAAATAAATGGGTGTTGTTAAGGTATATAATATCTCATTCATAAAGTTATACAGATGTTCCAAACTCAACATCGGCTAAACCGAAGCAGATTTTGGTACCAGATTTCCATATGTAGCACCATTTTTTATACAAATAGAAGGAAATGTAACATATAGACAAAATGGCTCTCGGAGACCATGTAGGCACAACTGCAAATGCAATTTTCAGGGTGAGGTACTGTGATTTCAGAAGGTTGCCCTCTGGATTCTTACTTAGGTAGGTCTGAAATTTAATAAAACATAGGGCAACCAAAGATAGCACAAGGTGTCCACAAAACCTCAGTTTCAAGATTATGCTCCCTGACTACATTGATAATGATAAAACATCATATGAAAACTGATTTTTAATACGATTACTAATTTCATTCAAGAAATATCTGATTTTGTTACAGAGCTAACAAAACTGATTGAATTATTAATACTTTAAGAAACAAATCACAAAAGGTTTGCTGTTAACATTCTAGCCAGTATTAAAACTTCAGACGATGATGTTGGTGACTGCTGTATAGAATTTAATGATTCAAACAGCAGTTGGGGGACCAAAGTTTGGGCTATTTCTCTTCTATGGTTAGCGATGATGTTCAACAGAAATAAAGCCTGAAAATAAAGAAAATATGGGTGGTTTAGTTAGCATGATTTAATAATTTCTTGTATGGTAAAGATGTTAACCCTTTCCTAATGAATTGCTTGTGTTTTTTTTATGAGAGCAAAGTATAACAAAGTTTATATTAAAAAAATTCTGTCTGATCTCTGCATCCAAATCACCTACGAAATAAAACTAACTGAAATATTCAGATTCTGAATAGTTTTTTTTTTATGTACATTTTATTAATATTTACTAATCCTAATTCCTGAGTATAAACCTCCCACCTGCATAGAAAAAAACTTGTCAAGGTTCTAAAGCTAATAAAATCATAAACATATTTGCCTTAGAGCTCTTTTTCTTCTTTATAAAGATTGTAATTTCTAATTAGTTATTATATCAGATGTCTTTCTTAATCACATGCCTTAAAATTATCATAATTTTAGATTTTTTTGTGTATTTTATTTTGTTGAAGTAATTACTTTTACAGTTCACAAAAATTTCCAATTGTAATTTAAATCATAAGTCTTCAAGTTGACTTTGCCCGAGCATAAGCTGTACATAATTTCTAGAAGGAGCACAGAGGTAACTTACTAAAGTTAGTACGATCTATTTATATTAGTTTTAATGGTATATAGCATCATCACCGTACACCTTGGATGTTGCCCACCAATGCATTGACAAAGTTTTTCACTATTGTATTCTTATTGAAAACCTGTACGAGTCCAGTAATAAAAGATTTTAACAACATACTTGCCAGTCTTATTGTGATGTCATGCAAACCACTGATCCAAAGATCACGCTTTGCCAGCTTAAGGTGTGATGCACCTTAACTACTGATGTATAAGATATAAAAGTTTTTCCAATGAAATGGACTTACACTTGATGTTGGTAGTCCTGTAACTGTATTGTTGCTAATAAGCCTGTGTGAAACCTATCTTCCAGGTCAGTGGTTACGTGTGCATTGTGTAACACCAAAGTATATAGCTATGTTATGTAGCAGATTTTATTTATTATAGATTATAATTTTTACTGAAAAATCTAATTTAGGTTTAAAAATCATTTAGTGGTTATCTTGCTTTATGTGAAACTTCAGATATGGTTACATTTATTACTTATTAATTTCTATAAACACATTTAGATTGGAAAAAAGAGTTAAATTATATTTAATTTAGTGAATGTATTCATTTGGAGTTGAACAAAAGTGTCATTGTCTCCTAAAATTAGAATGGCACATCGAATTTCTTGATGTACTTGATTTGAATGGAAATCAACGTTGAAACTTCTCTGGTTATATTATAGTCGTATTATAAAAGTAAAATCACATGTCAGATTACAAGAAACAAAATGAAACTCACTTGTATTTTGGCTTCTTCATGGCTGTTCAACATTGGTACCATTACACTGTTAATTAGTTCCACTAATCTGAATACAGGGCAGTTTGGTTTCGCTAAAATTGAAATACATGTATCAGAAGGGTCTTGTGAAAGACTAATTTTAATTAAAACGTGCACGTATGAGATAGAAATAAATTATGTTTATAATCAAAGAGTGACAAACTGATTATATTTAAACTATTAGATGCTCATTTATATTAATCAATTCTAAAAAAACTAGCTTTAGTCATGTACTGAAAGTTCAATCACAATGTTTTCTGTTTGCAAACTCACATTTCAAAACATACATTATGTAAAATCTTCATAGAATGTAACATCTTTCTTATATCCACATTGATTTAAAACAGCTTAAGATACTACTGAAGTATCGTAAAGTGAATATCTTCACCACTCAACAGATAAGAGCTTTAAGTAAACTTGGATGTATTCTTGTGAGCGTGATGTGAAGAAACTTAATGGCAAATAAATATAAGATAGTCCACTAGTTTACTTGAGTCACAGATAAGCTAGTTTTTTTGTGTGTGTTTATATACTAGAAAGAAAACTGTTCCTGATGAAACTTTGTAGAATGGACGACAACTGCCTGTTGTAGAGACACAAGCGTAGAGGACCTGAAGACGAAAGGCGGAAGACTTTCTAAACGTCGTCCTCAACACTTGCGTCTCTACAACAGGCAGTTTCTGTCCATTCTACAAAGTTTCATCATGAATACTCTGCCTAAACAATCTATCAAAGAAAAACTGTTTCTGCTTTTGAAAATTTTAATACTGTTGTAACTTATTTTTCCCTGAATACATGTTCTCATAAAACCTCCAAAAAGTATACTAAAAAATATTAATAACAGAGCCAAAGTGGTTTAATATAATATCTGTAAACTACCTACAATATATCCAAAAAGTCACATACATTCTAATCTCAAAATAAAAGTGCATCATTTTGGTAATGGAATTAAATATCAGTACACTACCAACAGTGTTTCCAAGAAGTCGCACACATTCTAATCTCAAAATAAGAGTGCATCATTTTGGTAATGGAATTAAATATCAGTACACTACCAACAGTGTTTCCAAGAAGTCGCACACATTCTAATCTTAGAAGTTTAACATCAGAATGTAGCATTTTGGTAATACAGGAATGAACAGGTAGATAGAAAGCTTCATCACTAACATCACCTACTACCATGTTAGTAAGACATCGTAGAATAGCCAAAGTCACCTATAAAAGAAAAAATACATAATTTAATTTTATACCACATTAACACATTCAAGTTTTGTTACCAGTAACCAGAAAAATCGAGAAATTTCAGGAAATACCAAAAATTATATTTGTGATAGATTTACTATATAGTTTATTGAAGAAAGGCCCTAGAAACAACATATCATTTGATTCGGTGAGAAAAACCTGTATTTCCATATGTTCTCTATTAATAGAAAAAGTGAGCATATCTAGTATGCCTGTATAATCAAGAAGTTAAAGTAATTATATTCTCAAACTTCATTTGACTTATTATTTACATGCTAGAAAATTTTAGCTAAGGCTATACTCTTCTCCTTTCAATTGTGAAGTCCTGTCACATCTTGATTGTTAGTGCACAGTCCAGTTAGCATAGCACTGTCCCTAATTATGAACTACTGACTACAGGTAAGCAATTACTTTTACTTCGAAGCTTAATATTATTAATATATTTTGTGCCATTATTTTCTTAAACACCAGATAACTGATGTAAATAAGATTTTGTGTACAAGAGTGGCCCTTTCATGCATGTCATGACTACAGTATTAAATTCAAAATTATTATCAGAGTATATCAGTACACTTAGCATGAAAATATAGTTTTATAAATCAAGTTTTTATATTATATAAGTTCTAACATATTAATTTTCAAATCAATATTTAAAAAATTCTCCACCTGACCCGTCTGAGCTACACTTCAGAATTTTGTAATTTCAAAAATAGTCTGTTGCAGTTTCCAACCAATTAGACACACAAATTAGAATTAAAGTTTTAAAACCAAATTCCTTAAATCAATTCATGACTTTTATACCATATAAACCCCTTGATGACAAAGAATGTTTTATTCCCAGGAAACAGAAAAAATTGGGAAATTTCAAGATATTTTAGGTAAAAAGTCATATAATTAAAAGAAAACAGATGTGAAAAGGTTAGCATTGAAACTGTTAAGTAATTTGGAACCTCCTGATAATAATAATAGTATTACTCATTTCATTTCATATTTTTCAACTTTTCATTTCATTGTACTTTGATTTTTTCTACTGTGAGTGCTAGGGTAGATAAAATATAGTTTTATGAAAAACAAAAACATTTGAAATTCAATTAGGAAGTCCTAACAGTTACAAATGAAATATGTAAAACTATACGATGAAAAGAGGTATTATTATTCTTAGCACGACAGTCACTTTCCATTCAAACTGATACAGTAAAATCTTTTCAAATTCAGACAAATCTTTCTTAAAAAATTCTGTTTCTGCTTACAGACTTTTTGATGTTTACTAAAAACTTGCCAAATTTCATGGAGACATCTAGTAAATTCAGTTATAGTACGTACAACTTCACAGTTCCAGAGTTTGTCCAACGGGCCGAGCCGCTTCCAAAGACATATTATTATTACTTTTACTACTATTCTATATGTGAATATTTTGTTACCAGCCTTGGCACAGGCTCTCCTCCCTCCAATAATCTATTCAATGTTTTTATAGTAACATCGTCCAATTCAATTTAAGTAACATCGTCCTTTCCACACTTTCATAGTCACTCCAGTTGACTAGTATGACTTTTTTTTCATCATCACCCATTCTCTCAGTCTACATGCTATTTTGCTGATGATCTTATTTTGAGATCTTACTATATTTCTCAAAGGATACGCTTTACTGGCTAGAAGGTCCACTTTCTCATTGAATGATATGTAGCCTGGAATATAGGTTGTTGTCAGATGAAACTTTGAGTCCCAAAGGTTTTATCTGTGTTCTTAAGAGAAAACCTGTCTCCAATCTTGTGATGAAGTTTAGGGAGTCTGTCGGGAAGTATGAGTGAGACATTATTGGGTTTACACCCAAAAATATTGCTAACAACGAGGCTATACATCTGATGAAACATTGCATTCTAATCTTTATAAGTAGAAAGGTAGGAAAAGTGTATTTAATTAGCTATATGAATGGCTAGGTTGATTTTTAGTTTCACTGGAAGTACATAGCTTACTCTGCTCGGAAGTTATTAACTGTATTACTGCTTCATCTGCTTTCTCTCAAGTACTGATATAATGAATGAGATATGTTATTCTGAGTAGTGCTTGGCTAACTAGTAGCCTTTGTCTTGTAGTAAAGTGCAGGGTGTTGGTTTGGCTTCTCCTGTCGTTCTTCTCTTGGCTGCATTCTGCATCCTCTGTAACTTGGTTACTGCCGACTCTGCTACTGATGCACACCAGTGAACTCCGTGTTTACAACAATTACATCATTACCATATGTATATGGTGTCACTCTGGGGCATTAAATTGTATTGACCAGATCTACTGCGTATATATCTATATACTACTAAAATTCTGAGGTTGTTTGTTTGCTTGTCTGTAATTAAATACAGCAAAAACGGCACACAATACTACCATATTTGTAATGAAATGGGAATAGAAACAGAATAAAACAAGTTTAGTTAAAATCGGGCCATGGGTTACTGAGTTAGCCCCGTTTTTCGAGTCACTTTTATGAAAATTTCTAGATGAATATAGGTACACTAGATGGCGCTACATATCACTTTAAAATCTCTTCTATACAACAATAT